AATTGTTTCTCTGGTGCCCCCGTTACAGAGCAAGGGGCTTAATGGAGGCGACAGGCTCCTTCACCGCACTCTCCCTTGGTTTCCTTCCAGGGCCGGATTCGAACAAGATGTTGAGAACGCGGCCAAGCAGCTGGGAAATTGTCAAGGTAAGTGGGGTCAGGGCCACCTCCCTCGGATTTCCCCCCGCTTCCCTCCCCCCGGCAGCTGCACGGGCAGGAAGCGCTGGGGGTCTCCGCGGAGGAGAAACGGGATGACTCAGCCTCCCGGGCTGCCCATAAAGCACTTCTGGCCCAGCAGAAGAAACGTGGCCCCGTGCCCCTTGAGGCCCGGCTCTGACAGCCTGGCAGCGGGTGAATAGCTGTTGCGTGGGAGCCTAGACATCATGAGAAGAAAGAGGAGGAGGGGAAGGCAGCCACGGTCGTGGTTTCTTCATCACCGAGCCTCTCACTTGCAGAAAGGAAATTTCCCATCCGGTTTGCCCCCCTGTGAGGGCTCAGGTGTGGGGCTGGTGGGGGCTGGGGGCTGCCGGTTGGGGAGAGATGCAAAATTAGGAGCTGGATTGTGGGGGAAAATGCTCATGTGTCCATCCTGAGGTCCTGGAGGGATCCAGGAGGCAGGGAATGGGGCCTTTCCTAGGATGCTGGCACTGATCTGGGGCACTGTCTGGCTGTGGGGCACAAGGACTGGGCTATCAGAACTTGCCTTCCTAGGCTGCAGGTTCCAGTCCAGCCCAAGGTCAAGGGATCTAGAGTCGCCTCCCAGGCTCTGGGTCTGACCTGGTGGTGCCCCAGCATTGCGACCATGGGGGCAGTGAAATCTGTAACCGCTGAACCCACCAGCCCCTTGGCTTGCAAGCCTAGTGCCAGGTCAGCGCAGGGAGTGAGTAGACCAGAGGCTGCCTTGTCTGGGTGAATCCCTGAACCCTCCTTCTTTGCCCTGTATTTTTGCACCCTGATATCCCCCCCAGCTGCGCTGTCATCTCCCCATTCCTGCCCCCCTCCCCGCTTTGTTCATCGCTGAGAGCTTAGCTCCTTCTCTCTTCTCCTTTCCGTAGATGTCGTGACCTCCACAGGGGATCGCAACGGTGCCAGCGACTCATCGTATGGTCAGTGGCCTGCTCCCCCTCTCGCTTTCACCCCTTCCAATCCTGCTGTTCCCAAAATCCCTCACCCCCAACCCTCTATGATGTCTCCCCTCAAAGCCCCAGGGATGGAGGAGCTCTACATGGTTTACGGCCTGTCACGGTTCTGCTGTCACCCCCACCCAGGAGCTGGGCAGAGTTTGAGGGTGGGTTACACCCTTGGCAACACGGCGGGCTTGTCCCAGTTCCACTGGGACATACCATGGGCTCACCAAGCTGAGACACTCTATTGGGACTGCCTGTGGGGAGAGGACAGTGAGACAGCCCATGCAGATGCCATGTTAGGATGCCATACTGACATGCCCCGCCCCCGCACCAAGGACTCACTGGGATACCGTGGGGAGATGTTGGGAAGTCACATTAGGACACCTCACTGGGACGTCCTCATGGTGTTGGGAGACCTCATGGCGATGCCATGTTGCAACACTGTTGCAACGCCATGTTGGGACACCTCATGGGAAGGCCATGTTGGGACGCCATGTTGGGACACATGAGGAGGCCATGTTGCGACACCATATTGGGACACCTCATGGGGAGGCCATGTTGGGACGCCATGTTGGGACACCTCATGGTGAGCCCATGTTGGAACACCATGTTGGGACACCTCATGGTGAGCCCATGTTGGAACACCATGTTGGGACACCTCATGGTGAGCCCATGTTGGAACACCATGTTGGGACACCTCATGGTGAGCCCATGTTGGAACACCATGTTGGGACACCTCATGGTGAGCCCATGTTGGAACACCATGTTGGGACACCTCATGGTGAGCCCATGTTGGAACACCATGTTGGGACACCTCATGGTGAGCCCATGTTGGAACACCATGTTGGGACACCTCATGGTGAGCCCATGTTGGAACACCATGTTGGGACACCTCATGGTGAGCCCATGTTGGAACACCATGTTGGGACACCTCATGGTGAGCCCATGTTGGAACACCATGTTGGGACACCTCATGGTGAGCCCATGTTGGGACGCCATGTTGGGACACCTCATGGTGAGCCCATGTTGGAACACCATGTTGGGACACCTCATGGTGAGGCCATGTTGGGACACTACGTTGGGACACCTCGTTGGGATGCCATGTTGGGATGCCCCTTAGTGACGCCATGTTGGATTGCTCCATGAGGGCGCCATGTTGGCAATCCCTTGACCCTCCCAGAGTGTTAGCATTGTGCCAGTGTCCAGGATCCCCTTGTCTACAGTATCACCATTGCTTCCTGTGAGGTAAGGGTAAAGCCTTCCAAGAATTGCCCCCATCCTGCTAGGACAGCAATAGGCTCCCTCAAGAAAAGGCCTGGTGTCCACTGTTTTGGGAGTCAGGGCCTGATGAAGCCTGGTGTCCAAAGATGGCTCCCACAAGGCCCAACCACGTCCAGACAAAGATCTCACCAGTCAGTGAGAGTTGGTATGGGGAGCAGTCGGGGTGCCAAGGAGGGAAGTCTCCACTCCCATGAGCTGAGCTCTTGGAGAGAGAGCAGAGGGTACCCTCCGTAGGTGCCGGCGCTTGCGTCACCCGCCCATCCCCATTCACATTGGCACTAACCGTGTCCCATAGCTACTGTTGCTAACCCAGTCACCTCTCCTCACCCCTCCCGCCATCTCTGCCCGTCATCACTCAGACCATCCCATGTCCCTCCCTATCAGGGTAGGGACAGAGCCAACAATCACCATGGCTCTGGAGAGAGGTTGGGAGCCCCACGGCTCCCTCACCATCCGTGCCACATGGCTCGAGTCAGGCCCCACGATGACGGCCCTCACCCCTAAGGTCGTGCTGTTAATCCAGCAGCCTAGGACTTGGTTCTGTGGGCGGTAGCAGAGTTCCTCGTAGCCCCCAGGCACCCAGTACCTGACCTGTCCTCAGCAGGGCTGGGTCTCGGCGGTGTCATGCCCCTTCACCTTTGCAGCAGCCCCTCTTCTAAAGCCCCATGGGGGCGGATGTGCCTGGGTCAAGAACTTCCCTAGGTTTAAATCCAAAGGGAATTAGGCACTGTTGAGACTCTGGGCCCAAGATTTGAAATGTTCGGGCACGGAGGGCGCTGGATGGAGCCTGCTGGGCTGTATCACAGGCAGGGCTTCTTCTGCACATGCCCCTTCACCTTTGCAGCAGCCCCTCTTCTAAAGCCCCATGGGGGCGGATGTGCCTGGGTCAAGAACTTCCCTAGGTTTAAATCCAAAGGGAATTAGGCACTGTTGAGACTCTGGGCCCAAGATTTGAAATGTTCGGGCACGGAGGGCGCTGGATGGAGCCTGCTGGGCTGTATCACAGGCAGGGCTTCTTCTGCACCTAGACCCACCCTGCAGTGATCGGTGGGGCCAGGACTAAATGGAGCCCAGCATGTGAACTCCTTCCCGCTCCCTCGAGGGGCTCTTCCAAAGGCGGGGCCCAGGTCCATGGGCAGGGGGCAGGGTGTGGGGCAAGCTCTGTGTAGAGCCAGCATTGGTCTGCAGGGCTCCTGATGCAGCCTCCACTGGGTTGGATCTGGGAGGGAGCACTGTACCATTCTGCAGGGGGTGTTGGCCTGCTCCATGTGCTCTGGGCCTTTGGCCCCTGGTGCAGGAGCTGGGAGTCACTGGTGGAAATGGAGTAGGTGGAGGGAGGTGGTCCAGCCCCCAGCAGGTTGTGGGAGGACCCTGCCCGGATCCCACAGGGGAGGAGGTTCGTGTTGCCATCATTAGTCCACTGCATCCCCTGACGTTTTTCTTTGTCGCCGGTAACACAGGGCAAGTCCGACCCGCTGGCCCCACCACAAGTGCCGCGCCCTTCCCGGTGCCCACAGGCCGTTCCCAAGTGGGCATGGCCCAAGACGCCCGCCCCGCCCCTGGCGCTGGGGACCCGCGCTCCACTTTACGCGCGGCTGTAAACACCCAGGGTAAGAGGCCATCTGCCTGCACCACGTGGAGCTGCACGACAGGCTGGCACCGACACCTTTAACAGAGCCTGGGCTGCCGTTCCTCAGAGCGAGGGTTAACCCGCGGGAGCATGGCACCGGTTTTCTAGCGGAGAATAACCAGTTCTCTCTCTTTTCTGTGGCATATGGTTGGGGGCGAGCACCAGGGCAGCTTCCCTGCTGCGCAAGGAGAGGGACAGGATTGGAGAGGGGTGTGCAGATCAGAGAGATGTGGGGCCAGACCTAGGGCCCATCTAGGCCAGTGTCCTGGAACTGACTACTGCAGAGGGGGTGGTGAACAGTGGGGGCGATGCTGGACTGCGGTAGAGATTAGGTGACGCAGCAGGTTTTTCATTGGCAACGGAAGCCTTTTGCACGTTTGTACAGTGTGTTCTCTGGGCCAGGCAGGGATTTCACTTGCCAGGAGAGAGAAATATCTAAAGCAGTGTTTCTTAAACTGTGTTCGGAGGCATACAAGGCAGTTGGAGGTGTGCTGCGGAGAACAACAGAGTTCAAAATGGCTGCCCTTAAAGGGGCAGGTGACTTTTTTTTTCTCAATAACTCCCCCTCCTCTCCCCCAACCTTTTTTTTTCCCCCCTGTTCAACAAAAAAAATCCTTGGTGTTCCTCATAAAAAAATTAATTATTGTTTGGTGTTCCTTGGTCTTAAAAAGTTTAAGAAACACTGATCTAAAGAGAGAGTGAACTACCCACCACACCACCGTCACTTGGCCTGCGGAGATCTACAGTCAAGTCCCAGCTGTGAACTTAGGTGTCTTGCATCCCAGGGGACGCCCCTGGCTCTCGCTGGCTGGGTTTTTGTGGAGAATAGCAAAAGGCCCGGGTTTGGCCCCAGGCCAAGTAGGGGTAGTTCTGAAATCCTGAATGTTGTCGTGGGATGGGAGAGAAATTTCACTTGGCTGCAGTGCTCTGCATGCGAGAGAGAGAAACTTGTGTTCACAGGAGACCGTAGGTGTGCGTGCACGCAGGGGGCTCTGTGTGTGAGGTGCATGCACAGCAGTCTTTGTTCATGTGGCTACGGGGGGAAAAGGAGGGTGTACAGGGTGCTGTGATTGTAAGGTGTGTGCACAGGGGCTGCATGTGTGTGTGGGGTATGTGCAGAGGGGGCTTTGTGTGAGGTATGTGCACAGGGCGCTTTGGCTACGACTACACTGCAGCACTATTTCAGAATACCGGCAGTATCCCAACATAGCTCTCCTGCGTCTTCACAGCAAGCCCATTATTTCAAAATATAACGGGCTCGCTATTCCGACATCCCTGTAAACTTCATTCCACGAGGAGTAAGGAGAGTTTCAGAACAGCGGGTTATTTTGAAATTTGGTGCTGTGCAGACAACGCCAAATGACAAAATAAGCTATTTCAAAATTGACTCAAAATAAGCTATGCAATTTGTGTAGCTCAAATTGCGTAGCTTATTTTGAGCTCCGGGTGCAGCATAGATGCACCTTCTGTATGTGTGCCTATGGGAGGCATGCACAGGGGTCTTTGTATGTGTGAGGCACATGCAAGGGGGTTGCGTGCATGTAGCGGGTCCCATATGAGGAGAGGCTAAAGAGACTGGGACTTTACAGTTTAGAATAGAGGAGACTGAGGGGAGATATGAGAGAGGTCTATAGAATCATGAGTAGTGTGGAGAGGGTGAATAAAAAAAAGTTATTTACTTGTTCCCATAAAATAAGAACTAGAGGCCACCAAATGAAATTAATGGGTAGCCGATTTAAAACTAATAAATGAAAGTTCTTCTTCACACTGTGCACAGTCCACCTGTGGAACTCCTTGCCAGAGGAGGCTGTGAAGGCTAGGACTATAACAGAGTTTAAAAAAGAGCTAGATAAGTTCATGGAGATTAGGTCCATAAAAGGCTATTCGCCAAGGGGTAAGGAGTGGTACCCCTGGCCTCTGTTTGTCAGAGGCTGGAGAGGGACGGCAGGAGACAAATCGCTTGATCATTGTCTTCGGTCCACCCCCTCTGGGGCACCTGGCATTGGCCATTGTCGGCAGACAGGATACTGGGCTAGATGGACCTTTGGTCTGACCCAGTACGGCCATTCTTATGTTATGTTCTTAGCTACGAGAGACGTGTACAGGGGGGCTGTGTTTGCAAAGCAGATGCACAGAAGGGCCTGGGGGGGGAGGTATGTGCAAAAGTTTGAGGAAAGGAAACGAGGCTCGTCCTTAACTCATCTCCTCCACGGGCCAGACGCAGCACGGCCGGCAGAGCTGGCCTTACCATGAGGTGAACTTGGGGGGCGCCACGAGGACCCAGAGAATCAAGACCTTTCAAAGTTTTGGCCCAAGCGAGGAGGAATGGGGGTGTCATTTCAGCTCCCCACCTCAGATGCCAAAATGTTGTGAGCCGGCCCTGATAGCCGGTGTCATTATCCTGGTTTTACAGATGGGAAAACCACACTCCAAAGAGAAGCCATGTCTGGCCCAGGGTCCCAGAGGGAATCGATGGCGGAGCCAGGCCCAGCATGAGTCAGGACTCCTGAGTTCTGTTCTGGGCACCGGATTGGGGGCGTGGTTAGAATAGGAAATCTGTGCAGTGCCCGTGCTGCACACCCATCTACCCTGGTGTCCTGCCTGCTGGAGACAGATCCGCAGCTGGTGAAAACGGGCAGCCCCTCTCCAGTCCAATCCAGTCCCCCACCCTCCTCTAGGCATTGGGCTGCGTCTCCCCCGTCCCTCAGCTCCTGGGCGTCCCGACTGCTCTAACCACTAACCCAACGCAGACGCTAAGAGTCCTGACTTGAAGGAGGTGGATCCACTCCCTCTCCCCCCCCACACCCTGCGGCTTGTGCTGTGACAGGCTTCGGCGCTGCCAGTCCACCCCATCTGCCCCACGCAGAACTCATGCCCAGCTCTTTGGCGAGGGGAGAGACGGGCGCCTTTCCCCTGGGAGACGCACGAAAGGCCAGAGCCGAAGCAGCTTGTGAGAGCCAAGCCGGCTGGAGCATTGGAACTAACATGTGCTTTTAAAAAAAAACACACACCCCCGCCGCCCCACATGCTATTGAAACAAAACCAGGCAGTGAGACGGCGCAGCTCCTGGCAGGAGAGAAGGCGAGAAAATAGCCCTCAAATTGCAGCGAGCACTCGGGAGTGAGCGGCTAGACACCGAGCGATGCTCAAATGGGCCCCGAAAAGCAGCCAGATGATCCCTCCCGCAGATGAAAGATTTGTCTGGCTTTACCCAGCCAGCACTGGCCCCGGGATGAGCAGGGAGAAGGGCCAGAGATTGCTGGCAGCTCTGAGTCCTGAGTGGCGCCACTAACCCGGCAGGGGACTGAAGGATCAGAGGGAGTGACTTCAAGGGGACCCCCCCCCCAAAAAAAACCCCAGTTCATCACACACACCTCATATATGCTGCCTGGGGACAAACACATTCTCTTGCACGGGCTGGGTTTCTTCAGCAATAATGAAAGTCTGTGGTGGGGTTGTAGTCTAATGGTTAGTGCACAGGCCTGGGATGCAGGGTATGTTGGCTCTGGGAAGGGAGTGTGCCCTAGTGGTTGGAGTAGAGAAATGCTAGTTGGGAGTAGTGTTTCTTATCAGCTGAGCGCTTGGGCAGCCACCCAGGAGAGATTCAAATGCAACCCTGCTGATTAGCAGAGTGCCCACAGCTGCTGGCAGCAGGAGTTTCTCCTGGTGGTGCACATCTGCATATGCCTTGGTGCACATAGCAAAATGTGTTCTGCATGTGGATGGAAAAAAATAAAGGGAACACTAGTCAGGAGTTCTGGGGTCTATTCCCAGCTTGCAGGGAGGCAGTGGTCTCTAGTGATTGGCACGGGAATTGGGACTCCTGGCATCTAGTCTTGGTTCTGGGGAGGGAGTGTGGTCTAATGATGAGAGCAGGGGGCAGAGTGCCAGGACACCTGGATTCTCTTCCCACTTGCTGTGAACGGCTTGTCTTATACTAGTAGAAGAGAAACATTTAAACCACTAGAGAAATACCAATATTACCACTGTGAGAATCCTGTATCTCTTTTAGATTTTGCATATATCATTTATGCCCCTCATATTGGGATAAGGCATCTCACCGGGGTTATACCAGTATGGCTAGTGAAGTTTGAATTCACACCTGGTTTACACGTAAAATGCAGGCCGATAGACCTGATCCTTCAAGGGTGTGAAAAATTCACAGCCCTCAGCTTCTTGGCTGTGCCCGGCCTAGACACAGCTAGTTTGATGGAAAGATGTGTCAGTCGGCTAGCTGCCGCCACTCTGTGAGGCTGTGTTCCTATAGCAACGGGGATACCCCGTCTGCTGCTGTAGGAAGTGTCCACACTACAGTGCAGCACCATCGCTGGGCCTGACACCGGGATAGCGTTACCATGTGAACGAGCCCTGACTCTGTGTAGCTTGGGCTCTGCCTCCCTCTGCTCCTTAGCTTCCCCGGCCATCAAGGGAGGAAAATCCATGCTAGGGGTATACCCTTGGCCGAGTGGAGAACTGACTGTGACACCCTTCGCCCCGGTACCTCGCTCCCTTGCAGGCGCGGAACTCCTGAGAGCAGGGCATGGCAGGGCCACAGCAGGGGGGGAGTTCTGTGGGGGCATGGTGTCGGCTCCCTCCCGTTAAATCAGCTGGGAGGGGTCTCTGAAGGGGGCGCTCCAGTGTAATGTCGCTGATGTGGCCATCTAACGAGGAGTCAGTCCAGGACCAATTGCTGTCCCAGCTCCCAAAGCCTGGTGAAGAGCAGCTCTTGGTGAGCCTTCTCCAGCACAGGGCATGTCCCCCACCCAAGGGCCTTCCGCAGCAAAAGGAGTAGGGTGTTTGGTGCCATTCCTGGGAGACTGAGCAGAGCTCAGTGTTATTAATAACCAAAACCTCTCAAAGCCTTTGAGAGTGACTTCCACAGAGCTCGTCTCTTCAGCCCTCCCAAGCGTGCAGCCACCTCTGGGGTGGAACGCAGCAGCTGTTTATGGAGGGCTCATTCACGCACCACGAACATGCAGC